ACTGGGTACTATTGTTCAGTAATTTTGGGTACCCTGTTGCCAAACTTGCAGTATGTTGATGATCGAAACTAACCTCTGGCTTTTTTTCATTTTTGTTTCTCTCAAAGCAATTTATGATATTTTCTCGATTTTATTTTATTTTATTTTATTTTATTTTTCTAATTCTGAAAAGCCAAGCAGGTCAAATTTCGAGATCTGACCGGACGCGAATTGGTCGGATCTCCATCAGACCACTTCAAGGTAGTCCTCTCTCAATCTACGATTGAGATCAGCATGTCCTCGACTAGTAAATAGTCAAGAAAAATAATCTAGAAAAAATTAGTATGAAAAAATATTTTTTTCTTATGCTTCCTCGAGTTGCTTATATGAAGCCGTATATGCAAAAGAAAACGGTGAATTAACAGTTGCTACACAGAACGCAACAAATCTAGGGTACCCTGTAGAGCTTTTCCTAGTAAAATTACAGGTGCGGGTACTCATGCAAGTACTTGTGCAGTAAACATACTGCAATGGGTACCCAATGCAGCACCTACGTCAGTATAATTACTGAAAATTTTCGAAGTACCCATATCGGGTACCCTGCTGAGGTTTTCTCAGTACATGGGTACCCTGAACTCAGTACTTTCTCTAGGGTTGATGCTTTTACAACAAATAAAATTAAGAAGAATCAACTGAAAAATGACTGAAAGTTTTTGTTTAACTTAAAAAACTGGTAATTACGAAAACTATATTGCCATTAACTAAATGTGATGTACTAATGATGATTAAAATATCTCAGCTTTTATAAGAACATTCTTCGGAATGCTCACTGCTATGCAATATTTAAGCAAACATTTTTTCTCAAATAGAAGAATTTCTCTAACCGCGATTCAATCGCTTCGAGCTGAATTGAGCCACCAAAAAGTAACCCGATATAAGAATTGATTCAAAATTATTATGATTTTATGATTTAATGTAGAACCATATATTGAGACAATTGAGGGAAGCTCAAGTAGAATTACTTTTGGAGCATCGAAAATAAATTGATTAAAACTATTTGATTTAAAATATTAAAATGAATTGATTTTAGATCGAAATATACAACTAATAAATAACACTATTTGCTGAGCTACCTTCAAAGAGGAATGGCATTACAATATAAAGATCAGAGGTGTTCAAGTTGCCATCAGTATGGAGTACAGCAATGCGAAGGTTGTAAAAAGAGGTTTTGTCGAGAAGACTTCGAGAAACATAAACAACAACTATCAAAACAATTCGATAGCGAAGTAGTGGAAATCCAAAACCAACTTTCTGAAGATTTAAAATTGTTAGAAAAGCCACGTCATTTAAAGTCGGACGTTGTTAACAAAATAACAGAATGGGAAGAAGCGATGAAAAAAAGCGTCGAAAAGGCAGTAAGGAAAGCTCTTGGAGATCTTAGCGAACTAATCAAGAAAAAAGGAAAAGAAATGGTAGAACAGCTTAATTCAATTAAATTAGAAACAGATTCTTGTCAACGACATCAAAATTTCAATGAAAATGATATTGATCAACTTAATCGAAAGATCAATAGACTACAAGAAAAGTATAAACAATTGATTGGAAAAGACGTAAATCAAGCCGTTGTTTTTAATGATAAGAAAATTAATTGGGATCAAATAATACGCATTAAAGAAGAGTGAAGAAATGGTAAGTATTCCGAATCGAAGTTGTGCAACTTGAATGATTTTTTCGCATTGTGTCATTATATTAAGTTGTCGAAATTAATTGACTTATAGAACAGAGCTACTTTCCAAGACAGATAGTTTACAAGTTGAATTTAAATTTCATAAAGGCGACATTGAATAATTTTCATTTAAGGAGAATTCTTCTATCAGAAATCTAAAAATGCATGATTTCTACAACAATCATTAAAATCTTTACTAAAGTTTAATGCAAAATTCAACATAGGATCGACTTTTGGATGGTATATATTAACACAACGGAAGCTCAAAGTGAATTCAAAATTTTTTTTTTATTCGCACTAATTAAAATTTCCATTTTTGACAACGTAAAAATTTTGCAAAGGACAAATGTCTGATACTAAGAAAACTGAAATAAGGACGAGATAAAACTCCACAAATTTAATATGGTAAACTATTGCAATAAAAATAACATTATGGATAAATAGTGATAAGAGATTTTATTTATGTATGCAGATCTCTCTCTACAAAAATAGATTTAAGGGATTTTCTAAGTAGGAAATCTACACTAAAGATACAGAATTTCAGAGTCTATCGACTTCTATAAATCTTATTTTACTTGTGTCTCTCTTTGAGCCCACGAGTTTTAAAATCAAAGTCTTCATTTGTACAACGTAGATCGTTATATATATATATATTCTTGGCAAAATTGGAACCTTAGAAAAAATTGATTTATAGAAATTAATAGAACATGGTATCTCTCTATACTTAGTGCAAACTCTTTAATTAAGAAATACGAAATTCGCTTAAATGTTTGTCACTCACGAATAGATATCGATAGGAAATTCAATCTTGATATTATACATATTCATTTTTTTCGACTCTTAAAGAACAGAATTCTAAATATTAATGCCTAACAAGAAGTTCGAAACGAAAATTAGCTTTTTAGTGCAGTGCAGACAGTTTTCGATCGAAAATAATTTATTAAGTGATGGAATCGTTGCAAGAAATAAAGAGATAAAAATTTAGCTCTTTTCTTTTTAGTATGAATGTAAAATATTCTTCTTGATAAATCAATTATTTGATTATTTTAAACAATAATCCGATGACTTTTTTCTATCGACTTCATTGATTATCATTCCTATACATTCTAATCAATTCACATCGCTGTTTCCTCTCACCATATTCATGATCAAGTGATCAAATATTAGCAGAAACTTATAAAAAGAAATTTCATCTTACAAGAAGCTGAACATGATTTCTGAACGCTATAGCGTTATTGTTTTACCAACAATACCTTCGAGTTGCATCAGATAATTTCATGAGGTACTTTCATTTCAAATATTCTGAAAATTGTTCTGAGATTGAAATAAAAACTACACAGCATCGATATTCTGTAAATTTATCTAAGAGCAAAAAATTTTTAAACGGATGGATTGACATTTTTGTGACTTTCAAATTGAAGATACTACCAAAGATTTATAAGCGAATTGTCCTTCAAGCGAGAAATCAATGCGAGCACAACAATCTAAGCATGCAGATGAAAATAACCATACATTATGAGATGAGTTGTTAAGAATGCATTTTAATAAAAGAATTTTAAGTGCTGAAATTCGAGAATGATTTCGATAAGAATTATTTTGAAACAAAAGAATCAACCTATAGTGAGTTCGATTATATCCAGTCGATATAAAGTCTTATATGATACCAATGATGATCGACATTTTATTCTTATCATAGAATGCAGTCGAGAACAGGCTGAACGAAAATAAAAATTTTTCAAATATGTGTAATATATGTCTCTTGTTTTATCTTCTAATTAACGTAAATTGTATTAAAAGTACAACGATAGAAAATCTATACAATCTTTATTTATTTAAAAAATCATCTTTCTTATGAACAGTATTCATTCATTAAATTCAACTGTTCAATTATTCGGCCACAACTTAATTACTCTTCTTCAACTTGCATATACAACTCTGCCCTAAAGTACGAAAGTATTACCTATCGTTTTTCACACTGCAATCTGATAATGATATGAATTACAACGTATTTATATTCGTTTCCTTTTCGTTTCTATTGAATCTATCATCAGAATAAAGGAAATCCTTAAATGTGCGAAAAAAACTCAAACCTACTAATTCCAACATGTCAAAACATCTTTTTTCTGTTAAATTGATACAGAGGTCCATAAATACATTTGTTCCTACTAATTGCATTCTTTTAGACGAAGAAAAATCATCAGAATCTGAATCAACTTCAGCTGTACCTAAATCGAAACCGGCATCGTCCATCGAGTCATCGATACTCGATAAAAACCATTCGCAAAACCTAGGTATGTTATGCTCGACACTGGCCAATTCATCATTTCAAAAATATTCGATTGATCTTATAATTAACTCATTACTACCTGAAGGGGTATTTCTCTTGATTTTTATTAGTCGATGATTGCTTTCCTTCTAGAATCTAGAGCATTTTCTCATCAGTTTTATTATGCCTACTGTATACTTTAATCAACATCACATCCGCACTCTCTTCAAACGGAAACTCAATATCTCTTTTCTATTAATTCGAGAAGAAATTGTGAAAATACTCACTGATGTGAAGGCATTTTGATTAAGGACATCTCTAAAAGTGGTGCGAGACGAAGAACATTTTAGATTTTGAAGATCTATGGTTTTTTCTTCAAAAAGAAAGAAAGTCTCTTAACATATAAGTAGACACTTCCTTGCGAACGGTGTTATCAAGAATAGATTCACGAATAATGAACGTTTTTAATATGATTAAACATAATCCGTCTTTTATTTATCTTGCTTTGCTTCAAAGTTTCACAAAGCATAAGATATACCTAAAATTGTTCATTTTCTCTACACGACAAGCTGGTAATTTCATATGGCCTTTTGATTATCAACTTGAGACTCTCTTGAGTTTCCATCAAAATTTTCAGAGTGATACGCTTGTTCTCAAAACAAAAGATTTTAATGCTACGGTTGTACAGTAGTGGGCAAAAGTTCCAACCCTAAGCAAGGGCTTGATCAATTCTTGTCACAGACGAATGCTTGAGTCCTGCCTCCTTACTGGGACTGGAATATTATAGCAACATTAAGGATTTTTTATTGTGTAATCTCAAGCTAGTAAATAGATACAATGCTGTTCTATCTATTGTTAGAAAGCTTCAATCTTAGTCTCTATTCAATAAAACTTTTATTGCAAAACGATGTATCTCCGTTAAGCTGTGCCTATATACTGCTTACAAACGGAACTGACATATTGCAACTCTACTAGTACTCAGTTCAACATTGGAGCTAGTCTCAGCTGTTCGGTGTGAAAATCTCAGCATGGACTGCATAACGATGGATAAATCTACTCGAAAACTTCCAGCATGATGGCTTTCACAGAGACGGAAATTACTATTGTGCTATACTTCTAGATCGACAGCTCTAGGAAATCAATAGAGTGCGGCGAATCTGAATGACCTTTCTGATTTAGTCAGATCATCACCCGAGCGGCTTATTGCCTTAAAAGTATTACCTTCATTTTTGTCTCGAATCTGGACTTTTATCCATCCCTGTAAACAGACCATCGGACATCTTATATACTCATCTCTATACATAACTTATGAAGATCATGGTTATTGTGTGCAAATGAAGATCGATTGACTTAATGACCCTTGTTATTCACTCAAGTCTTAGTTTTAGCCATTCATGTAAATAATTTTATTCCATGTTGACTAAATGAATGCAGTTTAAAGAAAAAAACTATTGCTTTCCTTTAATGCATTTTTTAGTGTGGTACTTGAGATTTTTCGAAGTATTGAGAATTCTTCCACTGTCTGAATCATTTTTCAGTCTTGAATTCATTGCACATGTCCTGTTTTCTCAATTTTAGATCACCGCGGTAGTTATCGACCCGGTATTGATCGTTTCAATCAACCTTACAATGATGCAAATTCTTCTTCTCATCCATCTCCACGTTCATCCGTTCGAATACGAAGAAGTAACTCATTGGCTATACCACAAAGAGGACGAAGCAATCTAGATCCAACTGAAGAAGAAAGTAAGTCTTATGTTTGTGCTTTTTTAAAGTTACTTTCTTCAAAAAAAGTAATTTTTATAATTCTGTTCAATTTAATTATATAGATACGGAAATGTATGAAGATCTTATTCATGGAATAAAACCCGGTGAAATAATAGAAAAAGTGAAATCAATGCCTTTTCTTTATACTTTTCTATATAATCTGTTCTAGGGCATAGAGATCGATTCTATTATTAGTAGATTGTGTCGACCACCACTTCTTAAACCTATGGAAGAGATGCATGACAAAGACTTTATTTCTATAATTAAAGTAACTTTAAGAATTCTAAAAGTGATTATTTATTGTCATATAGCCATGGAAATATGATGAAACTCGACCTGATATCAAACCGACACCTATGAAAGATCTATATGGTGATTATGATTATTGGAACGAAGATTGTGTTCTTATGCCTTACTCAAAATATTATCAAAATGTAAATTAGAAAAATTCTTTTTGACATTTTAACCTATTTTCTATTGCTAAAGGTTAATAAACAACCCATGTGGTCCACTATTATTAAACATTTAGTTTCTTTCTGCAGCAAATGCGCAACTCGTACGGCCAAATTCAAAGATTTAAAAGTAATTATTAAAATTTTTCCACTTAATTTTATTTCAATAAACAAAATACTCTATATTAGGATACATTTGAAAACATTCACAATAAAACATTTGATTTGAAATGTTTAGAACATCTCATTACTAAAGTCAGTTTTGTTTAAATTTTACTCGTTGGACTACTTCAGTATTATTTGAAGGTATATACCAAAGAACAATCTGCTCGTTTTATGTATGAGACTCTTCCTAAGATATGTGATCTTGTACTGAACTTGAAATCAATTTGTCCTCAGGTATATGTCTACACAAAAGTTACTAATTAATAATGAGTTGACGAATTTTGTAATTTTTCAGGCACCACCTTTATTGAAAATTGGAACAAATCATTCATTTACTATGTCACAAGAACAAGCTGCAGCATTATTGGCTTGTGCATTTTTCTGTTTATTTCCATATCGTTCTAATTCATCATCAAAAAAAGAATATGAAAGTTTTCCCAATCCAAATTTTGGAAAGTAAGGAGTTCGAGGGATATTTTTTTGTGGTAAATCTTTCTCCACCTTACAGATTATATCGAGAAGGACCTCCAAATAAAATGGAAAAACTCAGATGTCTTTTACATTATTTTAATCGTGTCACAAAAAAAAGTTCGTATATCGTAAATTTATTTCCTATATCGATAATATTAATTTTAGTGCCAAATGGTGTTATAACTTTTCAGCGTGTTTCATTACCCCAAGCTCGTTTCCCACGATGGAATGAACTGAATACGGAACTCTGTGACTTGAACATGACAACAGGCAGAAAAATTGAAGAGATCAAGAACGTATTACAAGTAAATTAAACAATGAATTTTAGATTTTTTCAACTGTTCTATTTTATTAGGTCGATTTTGCCAATAAATATATTGTAAGAATTGAAGAATCTATGGTCACTTTTACTTAGTCATAATATATTTTATATAAATTAGGGAGGTGGCGTTTTAGGTGGTGGCTGTGTACAAGAAGAAATTCGTTTCACTATCTGTCCTGAAATGATAGTTAGTTTACTTGTTTGTGAGATGATGCAGACAAATGAATGTATCTTTCTTATTGGCTGTGAACAATATTCAAAGTACAAAGGCTATGATAATTCATTTCAGTACGCTGGAGATTTTCAAGATGATACGACTAGGTAAAAGATCTAAAGCTAATTAGTACTAGCATCATTCTTAATTGATTATATTAAAAACCTAGATAGAATTCATTCTTTTCACTTGTAAATCATTAGGTATGTTGTTGAAGAAAATAGTGAGTGGAAGTTTAAAGACGAGTTTTTGTGGCCCAACATCTCCTTCTCTCAAGTCGTCAACCAATAGGAATTTCGAGTTATCGATTTTAGATTTTCGCACCCATCAAATTTGAAAATGGTTGTGGGTGTTTCTTACTACATCCACACCCTCAAGTGATAACCGTTGAACATCTGGATTAAGTAGGAATTCTTCTTCCACTGTGAGAAAGCTATCTTTTCAGTTCTTCATAAGATAAGACTTACAATTTATATTGTCAGTTTCTATTAATTTTGTAATGTTCAAAATAAAAATTTTTATGTATAAAGCAAATCGTAAATTTCATCTCTCTAATCCTGAATCTGATTTTACTTTCAGCATCAGATTCTATCTGAGAAGTGCACTTTGTATTCCGAGTAGATAAATAATTGGATTTCATCAAAAAACATATTATAAACTTTTATTAAAAGATTTCAATGACTTGACAGTACAATTTTGAAAATTTTAACTGTTCTCAATATGCTTTCACTTGTTAGTTTGAACGATTTTAATCAATCATTCCAGGTTAAATATTCTGACGAAATTTATGAAAATTTATGTTCAACATAAATCTGTTTACTCAGATAACTGAATGAAAAACAAATAAGAACACTTTTTTGAATAGTTTTTAACAAAATTGAATTAGCTTTAATTCCAGGCCACTGCTATTTTATTAGACTTGTGTGTTTTGGACTATTGGATACGATTCTTTCGATTTGTATCTTTTCCACAAGTAGTCGAAGTTTTGATAGTTATGAAGATATCTGTAACTTTGCGATGGGTTTATTACATATATTCAAGTGTTCGGGATTCGATAGATTCGAAATTGAAACAACGAACAAACAATATAAATATATTTCACATTTTCGAGGGCTCATTGTGTCTAACACATTCAGTTTAGGGTTTGCTTAAGCCTACTAAAAACATATTCCTTTATCATTACCGGTGTGTGTCCTCCGTTATAGACATAAGCAACTGGTCAATAATAATATCAAATCTTAAAACAGAACGAAAATGGAAGCAAAATAAAAATAGCGCAAATGTGAAAGAAAAAAAGAACGTTCAAAAAATAATAAAAAATACTTTTTGACAGGGCGAAAATAACTAAAGCGAATTTTTACACCTAGCACTAATCAATTCTAAAAAAGCATCATCTTGAGGAATTTTTCATTTTACAGATCCTTATCGGCTTAACGAGGGTAATAGAAAATATGTGAGTTCTGTATTTTACCTCCAGAGAGTTTGTGTTGACCGACTTCTACGGAAAAATTCGAGTAATAATTTAATATTGTTACTAGAAGAGAACTTGATGGTAGAATGAAGACTCTTTCCTTGTTTTCATCGAATTGAGCTTTTCTTTTAGAGATGGTTGGGGTCGGAGATGGTGTCATGCCGTAGCTATAGACGCAATTTATTTCCGTGAACCATCAGAACAATACGATATGAAAATCGTGGAGCGTGAATTACTGAAAGCATATACAGGTTTTCGCCCAATGGGTCAAGGACCCGAATATGAATTCGGTATTGCTACTGGAAACTGGGGTTGTGGAGCTTTTAATGGCGATAGACAAATGAAAGGTATCGAGCGATCTATTAAAGTCATCATACATACATTGATCATAAAATTTTAGCGATTATTCAACTGATGGCTGCTTCTGTCGCTAAACGTCCATTGATATACGCAGCCTATGGCGATAAAAAGTTAGTCACGTCGTTTTCAATGGTTTATGAGAACTTAAAGCAACAGAAGATCAACGTGGGTGACTTATACTTTTATTTACATCGATACTGTCGTCTGAGAACACGACCACTCTTATTTGATTATATTCTTAACACAAAGGTTTCAAGTCTAAAAAATTGATATTAATTCAACAAATTTTTTAATTTGAAATATATATTATTCATGAATGTATGTGTGACAATAATATAAGAGAAGCGAGCACATTTTGTTCTGTAAGAATGAACCTGCCCATTTTAGTTCATATATTTGGAATGTTAACTCTTGTAATACAGTTCAAAGAAAAATTGAACATAAGCTTATTTGACTTAATATTCAATAGTTTTACAGGTCGTATTCGAATGAAATATGAAACTCTCCGCGCAAAACTTACTGAATGGAAACTTCATAAGAAAATAATATTTCTATTTCCTCTTGTTCTTCAAGTTTTAGGAAAATAGATAAGAATCATATCATAGATGTCGGACTGATTGTAGTCTAGAGTAGGCTCAATTTTTTGCTGAACCAAATCGACGTAAGCTAAGAAATGGTTGAAAGCATCATAAAATCAGTGGTAATCTCAATATGTTAAATTATTTATGTTAGAGATAAATGAAAAATTCCTTTGCTCGATTTTCATTGGTTCACATCACTCGAATTCTAGGTTGATTGATTTTTATGGAAAGCAATGTTATTATAATCCATAAAATCCAAGTTATTACCAATAACTTATCATGAAATCGTTTGAAAATTGATTGAAAGTACGTGGAAATCATAATGATTATACTAATGTTCTTGTTTGTCTATGCTTAATTTCACCCTAATTTTATTTACACGGATGCAAACAAGTTGAAAAGTAAATGCTGGAGATAGAGCAGTAGGAAATAAATAAGAAAAGAAAGAGATAACTGCTGCAAATAACATTTTAATATATATTTCAATAGAAATAAAAAACAGGGGAGATTCAAGCTTTCGTGTCGTGTCTGGACTCATCCTCAGGAGCAATATGAAAGATTAATGTTTTTACTGTTTGATGCTAAAGAAACACTTGCTCAAGTTAGTGTGGAGAATGTCGACCTTGATCTTAAGGTGTGGATATGGTGTGTGAGTGTGACTATTGATCACTACACCCACACTCACCCCTACACCCACTCACTCTCACACCCACACCCACACCCAATAAACGGAAGAAGGTGGTAAACTTGGGTAGAAACCTTCACGGAAATTGGACGTACAAAATGTGACAGAAATGAAGCCAGTTGAAATTGTTTCCGTGCAGGAACCGACTATCCGGATTAGAAGTGGAAACGATCGGATTTCTCCCTGGATTTTCCCTCCATTTCCGGCCGGATATGGCAGGAAAGTAAGCAGAAAAATCCGGCAAATTCCGTCGCAGAATACTGCTTCCATGAAATTCCTGGAAAACTCTGTAACCGATCTTTTTCTTGCCAGATTGTTCGACCTGGGGAGTTTTTCTAGGGTTCGGCTTGTTTTTTGAAAATTTGGTTTTAAGGTAAGATAGAGTAACCATAGATGTATTCATTCTAATATTTAAATTTTGGAAAGTGGAACTTGAGGTCATATCTGCCTGGTTGCCCAGTCACTGTGCGACGTAATAGCGAAAAAAAGTATTTTTTAATGCTCTACTCATTTAAACAATAGAAAAGGACAAATAGCTATATATGTCGCAGTTGGTTAGAGAATTTAGTTGAGATTGGAATCGATATAAATACAAAAATAAAATCTATATCTATATTTCTAATTTATAGAGATGAAAGTAGAATCGGTAAATGTGTAAGTAATTATTTCAGAAATAATAGATAAGTTATATTTTTGTCTGAAAGATAAAGTAAAAATATCACTGATTTAAGATATATTATTAACTTCAAAGAAAAGTTTATATAGAATATAAGGAGAAAGTAATATGTTGCTTATTTATCTTTGTTTGATTATATACGTATTTTTTTATAAAGGGGACATGCGGGACTTTGAATTTTATTTTGAAAAAAATGAAGTTTCTTTTTTTCTTATAACTAGATAGATTTTTTTTCTAAACGGGACATTCGGGACATCGAAATTTGTATTAGATAAAAATAAAGAATTCCTTCTTTATTTATAAGATAGATAGATTTTTTTTCTAAACGGGACATGCGGGACATTGAAATTTGTATTAGATAAAAATAGAGAATTTCTTTTTTGTAAGATAGATAGATTTTCTTTCTAAGCAGGAGATGCGGGATATTGAATTTTATTTTGAAAAAAATGAAAGTTTCTTTTTTTATTATAAATAGACAGATTTTTTTGATCAGCGGGACATGCGGGACATTGAAATTCGTATTAGATAAAAATAGAGAATTTCTTTTTTATTTGTAAGATAGATAGATTTTCTTTCTAAGCGGGACATGCGGGACATTGAATTTTATTTTGAAAAAAATGAAAGTTTCTTTTTTTATTATAAATAGATAGATTTTTTTTGATCAGCGGGACATGCGGGACATTGAAATTCGTATTAGATAAAAATAGAGAATTTCTTTTTTCCTATGAAATAGATAGATTTTTTTTTCTAAGCGGGACATGCGGGACATTGAAATTTGTATTAGATAAAAATAGAGAATTTCTTTTTTATTTGTAAGATAGATAGATTTTCTTTCTAAGCGGGACATGCGGGACATTGAATTTTATTTTGAAAAAAATGAAAATTTCTTTTTTTATTATAAATAGATAGATTTTTTTTGATCAGCGGGACATGCGGGACATTGAAATTTGTATTAGATAAAAATAGAGAATTTCTTTTTTCCTATGAAATAGATAGATTTTCTTTCTAAGCGGGACATGCGGGACATGAAATTTTTTGTTTTAGTCATACTATTCCAAAAAGGTGTTATTCGCTCGACCAGAATGGCCGACGGTCATGTGACAATTATTAATTTTCTCATACATGTTTTCTTGTATTATCAATGGCAAATTAGATTTTTTATTACATATTAAATTGGTTGATCCGATTTTCATTAAACAAAATGTATGTTGAACCCAGAATTTAAATTTTGAAGACACATCTACATCTTCAGAGTTTAAAACTTTCATCATTTTGTAATACATGTCATTGTTAATCGTATATTTTTCTCTTCTTTTTTCATCAAGATTATTGATGTATGACTTTAATTTCGAAATAAATATTTCCATGAAATTTAAATTTGATAATTTAAAATGAAACAACACATGAAATAACTTAATTAGAAAAGTTATCATAGCGATATCACTAAATCTTCGTTTCGTAGGAAAGAACCTCTACTAAGAAAACATAAAAGGGACAAATGATGGTGGCACATAGATTTCACGCATAAAAATATTTTCGAATACAAGCTTTTATAAATTGTTTATTTATTAATATCAATCTAATACAATTTTTATAAACATCATCTATATATAACTTTAGAAATACAAAAAAAAAAAATGAAATAGTCTTTTGTAAAAAGAAAATAGTATGAATATCATAATTTTTATAAAAAGGCATTCATAATATTCTAATAATATTCAATTTGAATCAAATAGATTTATTGATGAAGAAAACGATTTTATTTCTATTCTCTCTTTTTTTTTTCTATTTTCAAATCTCTATTTAGGTTTAATTTTATTTTCTCTTTTTTTTTCTATATTTTTTTTTCGCGCATTCCAAACTCAACTAAATTCCCATGTCAACTGTGACATATATATTGCCTAGAGGTAGAAAAAGAATTTTACCAAAAAAATTCCATTTTTTACTTTTTTTGAAAATCATCGATTTTATAAGTTGTATATCTCGACACTAGCACAGCGAAAAAAATCTTTTCTTTTTACTAGTCGATAGCTCATGAAATTTACTACAAATAGTGCTCTTAGAGTTTTTGAATTCTATGCTTCCTTTATTTTCTGCAATCGTTCTACAAATGGTCATTCCAGTGACCAAGGGGGGAGGGGGGGCGTAAAGGGTTAACAAAAAACTTTTGTGCTTTTATTACAAAATTTTCGACCATATTTCGTGTCGACCAATTTTCGTATCGCCCAATTTTCGCTTCGACCAATTTTCGTGTCGACCAATTTTCGTATCGCCCAATTATCGGCGGCCAATTTTCGTTCGACCATTTTTCGTTCGACCAATTTTCGCTTTCCCAGTTTTAGCCCTAGTGTCCCCAAGTCTTTCTTCACACTTTACTGGTAGCATATAGTTTTGTATCGCGATTATTTTAGTTTCGCATCAGTGTTTTGATTTACATATGCTATTAACATATCCAATTTGATTAAAAAAATTATCAGAATGAGTATCTTTCTTTATATTGAACAAGTAATACAAAAAGTACGTTTTACAGAATGCTTGTTACAAACAAATTCTGAACATTTATAACATTTCTTTGAAGTTTTTTGTCCTTAGAAAAATGGCAAAGCTAGGATGTGAGTGTGCATGTGGGTACTGCTGTCGATTAGGCATGCACCAAACTCAAACGCAAACCCAATCCGTTTGGAAGTTTGATTTTGGTGTAAATGGGTTCGTGTTTAAGTTTGAATTTGGGTTTGAGTTGGGGTTTTTGATTGGGAATATAAATTTACATGTGATAGTCTAATTAATTGAATGCAGAGGTGACCTTTTATTTATCTTTAAAAAATGGACGATAATTTTTATTTTTTCAAGTTAAATGATTCATCTTTATTTTTCAAAGATGAAGTATTCATTTATGTCTATTTTTCATAGTAATACTAAAGTGTCACCCTACTCCAATGACTTCAGTTTTAGCTCAAGTCTATGTCGATTGCTTCATTTGTTCTTAACATTTGATTTTTATTTTTTACCATCATAGAAAGAAAAAAATGATCTAGTTTTGATTGATTTTATCAAAAGATTTGGCAACATGTGTTTGAATCTAAAGAATACTTATTAGTGTAGTTTTGTTTCAAAAGCAAGATTCTCTTTAGGTTGGTATCTTCCTTGCAAAAGTTAAAGGTATTTTAAAAGCAACTTTTCTGGAAAGGGCAAGTATTTTCTGACTTGCGTTACAAATACAGCATTTGCTATTAATACAGTTTGTCCACGTAATGCGACACTTCACTGAGTAGATTTTTGAAAAGTTTTTTTTCGCGATGGACAGATCTAATGCATTTCTACATGTAGTTTTTCGTGCTGATTACGAATTTGACATTTTTTCTTTGAAAATAATTGGGTTTTGGCATCGAAAAGTGAGTTTTAAACTTTTTGAAAATCGTATTTTGAATTTCTTAATCAAGAAAGTTTTCAAAAAATGTTGAGTGACATACTATCCGATCCTGAGTCTTATTCTATACAAAATGGTCTATTTGGTTTTGGTTTTCGTCACTGAGAAAAACTTTTACATTCTTGTACAGTTGCCAACTTTTTGAGAAGTTAGTGAGTATCCTTCGACGTATAAACTTGATTCTTACGTAGAGTGACATACGTACGGTAATGATCAAT